TCCACATTCTAGTTGCCCTATAAACATGCATAAGAACATGAATACTAAGATGGTTGACAAGTAACATCACTAATTCCAAGATTAATATCTAAAGATTAATCCAGCCGACTGATCTTAAAAAAATGATCTATGCAGACTATAAGTGTTATCAAGTGACCTAGAATAAAAGAAATGAAACCAAATTAAAACCATCGTTTATTGCTTTCCAGTAACATTTAAAATTTAGAAACTTATCCTAAACACCAATAAACATTTGCTATTGAGCACTTTAGTTCCATTCATACAGTCTCTCCTCATAAGTAAAATTTACTTAACTAAAACTTATCAGTTTTCTTATTAAAGTTAACTGGTGGTTGGAGGTAGTTGATAGGAAACCCTGGATCTATGTTTTGTGCTATTTGACACTCGTCAGTAAGGTGTACCTGTAATCTTGAGAAAACGGATGCTTCCTAACAGATGTGATCCCATGTCAATTAGCTTTATAGTTAGGGACTTTACAACTGAGCTATCCGTTTTGTACAATATGATTTCTTACATGGATTTAAGTATTCGACATATTCCTATGTTAGACAGTTAGTGTCAAGCTCTCTTGAATATACTGAAAGACAGTTTTTGTTAAATACGTTTATTTCTTAGTATTTAATTTTATTTAGCGTTTGAAATATTCATGTTTCTCAAGTTGATTTATTCATTATTACATGTTGATTGTACTTTTAAAAATTAATCGACGCTATTTTCCAAATGGAATTACTAAAGTCTCTCCAGATATACTAATCAAAGTAGATAAATATTCATTCCATGAGACATGAATCTTCAGGATGTCACTGGTTAAAAAGAATATGGACAATGATAAGATTAATCTAGTGTAAAAATAAGGATTCACAGTTAAATCATCCAGTCCAAGGAATATAATGTAATCTTTAGATGGTGAAGATTTGAAGTTCAGGTGGATGGTACTGGTGAAGTTTTGTTGTCTGAACTAGATGGCTTGGTTATAGAGCTTTCATTATTTTTCTGAACAAAATCATAGACAAATATAGGACCAAGAATGAGATCAAAAGGATCAAAATAAAGAGACAGACAATAACAGTTTATAGGTCAACAATAATCAATCAACATCAAGATCGACAGGGCAACCTTTCAGTCATAATATGTGAAGATATTTGAATAATTGACTTCTACCTGAAGTTTGTGTTGACATGGTTCAAAAGAATAATGACAGCTCCAGGATTTAGTCATCCAACGCAGAGAACGAAACTTCACTAAAAATACTGTGATGTAATCATAATTACCAGTTATATTTATGGGTTTCTTTTGAATGAGAATGAATAATGATATCCAAATAAGGTCCTTATAACCTCTAGGTAGCTTTTCGCAGATAATCATCAACAATATTCACCAAATCGATTGTTGTTCATTATGGTTTAAAATTATTTGAAGTGACTAAAGTAGTTTAAAACATTTTGACCATCCGAAATTTTTTCATATACCTGTAAAACTACTATATTTGTTTACAATAGAATTATTTAGTTTCATTACTGATTTCAACTGGTTAGTCCATATTACTGTGTGTGATTTCATGATAACTATCTATTCAATTTATATAGATTTTTAATTGTTGAGATCATGGAAAACATAGAAGCACTGGATGGCTGTTTCGTTCTATTGTGGGACCTCTCATCAGTGCTTATCCACGATCCAGCCTCGCGAGGTTCAAAACCAGGACCTATCAGTTTCGCGTGCGAGCGCTTAACCTCTAGACAACTGAGCCCGCCGATATCCAACGGTGTTATTGTCTAACCTCAGCTAATCCACGAAATTGAGCGACACAATCAGCATTGTCTTCAGTGAGTTACTATCTCACAACAGACCTGGTTGAACTCCACTGGTCACTACTTCTCAGTAGAACTCCAGGAAATACTTCTTGAAGTCAGTCATTAGTGAGCAAATGATGATTATTATCATAAGGGGGTTTTATGGATATTTTAGTAATTTAATAGTTGAATTCATGAGTCAATTAAAGTAAGACCACCATGGAAAACCTGGAAGCGTTAGATGGCCATTTCGTCCTAGTATGGGATCAAAAGACTACAATACTTTCTTCCATAAAAAATAACTGATGACATATTAATAATTAATTTAATAACCTCTTAAGAGTCATAAAATCTCCAAGCTTTGAACATAATTGATATTTTTCGAAAAGTCCATGCATGGAATTTTCCGATAACTTTTACACTCTTCAACATGAAGAACTTAATTATGAAGTTTCCATTGTTTATCTAGAGAACAAACGTTAAATTATTTAGGTTTAATGAAATTAATTCTGATTATTTACGTTAACAGGTTTTATTATCTTTATGTATCCATTTGTTACCCTCTTGTGTTTTTTATAATTAATCTATGATCTTTTCTGTATAGATGTATGAACTGAATCCATATGAACGCCTGAATGATCTAATTATCGTAAACTTAGAAATACTCTGGTATTCTTGAAATTTCCATGATTAATCATTCTAACATTTTCTCAATTATATTTATATTCATATTTGTCTCTACGCATCAACATAAGTGATAGTACATTGTGTATTTAGATTATTGGTCTGTATTGTTGTACTTGTCAGTTAAGTGAGTGTTTACTTTATTGAATATGGTGTTTCTCCTAGTCGATACAACTTACTCCTTGAGGTAATTTTTTACCTTGTCCTTCTCCATTGTTGTTTTGCAGCCTGTGAAATTACAATCCTTATGTTGATTTTGAGGATTCTCAGAACTAATGTAGATCATAAGTCAACACAATTACTTCTTTTCATTTTATATTTCGTATGCATTTCCATCAACATTAGTTGCATAAACTAGCGATGTCCTTGTACGTATGAACAAATATTCTTAATCAATTCATACAGTCTAGAGAATCCAATACCTCAAAAAAAACGAATGAAGCTTTCGGCCTTTATACTGTGGTGAACGAAGAATTGATGTGTAAAATCAATTTGCTGTTTAATGCAAAATTGCAAAGTGCTTTCCTAAAATACGAAAATCACAAATTAAATATATTATTTGCACACCTTCCATCAGTTATCTTTTACATACTCCATAATTCTTTTAATACTGTTGTTAATACGATGCCCGTCTGTTTCTCTTTCTTTTCTCTTCAATTCAGTCTTCTGTTGTTGGACATTTCACTTCCAGTTAATGCTACATTCTATTTATATCTGTCAACATAAGTAGCATGCACTGCAATATTAGTTCTCAAATTCGGATTATGAGTAATATTAAATCAGCTTGCGAAAAATGTGACTGAAAGCAGTATGTTTGTATTAACTTACGCCTGTTACTCTTCGTGGAGGAACATATGCCGCTCACTAGCATTCTCCACCCAACCCTGTCCTGGGCGATGTTTTTACTGCTAAGAATAATTCCTGATTTGTTAAACACAATAATCTTCTTTGTAATACCTATCCCCGAAAAAGGAAAAACAAAGCTTTTACGCTTTCAAATACTGTATTTTATTCAAGTACTGAGTTCATTAGTTGAATTCATGAGTCAATTAAATCTAGACCACCATCGAAAACCTGGAAACACTGGACGAACCATAGATCCAACTACTAAATCACTATAATATCCACAAAATCCCTCTCTGATTACAATCATCATATACTCATTAATGACTGGCTTCAAGAAGTATTTCCTGGAGTTCTACTGAGAAGTAGTGACCAGTGGAGTTCAACAGGGTCTGTTGTGAGATAGTAACTCAATGAAGACAATGTTGATTGTGTCGCTCAATTTCGTGGATTAGTTGAATTTAGACCAGCAATCAATACGAGACAAAAACTCATTCATTTCTATGGGATGTAAGGAGGCAGAGATAGACATATATACAGTGAGATCATCCGCATATTTCACAAAAGTGTTTACTACGGAAGATGGCAGATCATGCAGGAAAGAAAGGGTGAAAAAAGGCTCCTTACGGTACACCTTCATGAGACAGTAGAGACTCTGAACACTTTCCTCCAAACACAATGTATTGTTCCTTTCCAAAGAGGTAGGAACATAACCAGTTGGTTATCCAGTTGTCAGTGTTGACCTGATGATTGCATAACATTTTGGTGTTTTCTTATGTAGAATTTATATTTAAACCTTCATTTTCTTCATTTTAAAACTATTTTCTGTATTAAAAAGTGTTGAAACATTACAAATTGAATATAGATTTGATAAACTATTTACCGCTTATTAGGTAATGGTCAAAAGTTCAATGATATTGACTGTTTAAGGAAATTTGTTTAAATCATCTATTAATTATTGTATTTTACTTTTTTTTACCTAATAAATAATTTCTATTCTTGATTGAATATTTTGATATACAACTATAATGAATAAGAATACAAATGAGGGCAATCGAATGTATTTGAATAGAAAATTATAGAACATGTTAGTAGAATCTGAGAATCATACAGTAAATAATTCATTTGGAAAATGTCAATCGATCATCTAAGACTTCATTGTTCTTTCGTTTCCACACCAATCATTTTTTTGTTCTTGTTATCTTTTCTTCCATCTTCTTAACCTTCTGCTACCAGGTATTTCACTTTTAATTGATGATACATACTACTTATATCTGTCAACATCAGTAGCATACACCACACACCTAGTGATGTTATCTTGGTAAAAATTATTTGCTCATAGATTTTATTTTAATGGTATCTATTTAGTTGAACTTGAGAACTCTTTTTACTTCAGTCTTATGACTATTCAGTCATGAACTAATCTGTCATCCATACACATAATTTCTTCAAAGGAGCATGTAATTATATGCTTTTAAATCAATCTATTCAAGTATCCTTGTCTTAGAAGAATAAAAGTACCATTAAACTTAATTACTAGAATTAATTTCTTAATTAGTAACAAATTGTTAAATTGTTTAAACTAAACCGTTTAAAACATATTTTATTAATTATGATTTGCTTAACAATAATTCCTTTTTATATTTTTTTTGACTTCAGGAATCTAGGTCTTTTATCTTGGAGAACAATTCATCAAAGTCCTGCATTTCTTCTAGCACCAAAACCACTTTGTTTACGTGTTCAAGGCTTGACACATTCACAAGCTCAATTATGTCAACGTTATTTTGATCATATGCCTGTGATAAGCATTGGTGCAAAATTAGGCATTTATGAATGTCAACGGCAATTTCGATTTAGACATTGGAATTGCAGTTCTGACAATGAAGCTTCAGCATTTGGTCCAGTAACTTTAACAGGTTAGTTTATAAATTAATTTTACTATTTTTAATAAACAATTGATTTGCCACAGAAAACGTCTTGAATTTAGAGCTTTATTATGAGCAAAAGATATGAGTAACTGACTTATTGATTGTTTGGTATTGGTCAATAAAAAGTGTATTCTCTGAACCAAATGGTTTAACCATAAAGCTTCTATTGTCTTTCGAGGCATCCTCATTAACACAAACTTCAGATAGAAGTGGGCGTTTAGATTTTTTGACAAGTGACTAATTGCCTTCTTCGTCAACAATGAATATGACTGGGTGTTTTCGACACTCATTTTATTATTGCCTCCATATTCATTTTGACTGTTTTCCCTTTGTAGCTGTTTACAATGTTTTAATCTGGTTGGTAAACTGAATCTATTTTAGTATTTTTACTCATTTCTAACTGACGTGAATGGAAGGATTCTGAAAGTAATCTAGTGTTCTCTGCATTCATTCTATTCAAGACTGCCGTTTTCCCATCCAAACATATATGCACAATTGTCTACGTATGTTGATATATGTAACGATACGTTGTGGAGTTTGCATGAAATATATGAATAAAATCCATGGATATCAGTACACCAGTATACAATGAGGCTCTTGATCTATATAAGTTGTATTCAACTATATGAGGAAATAGGATATACATCCACATTGATTACACAAATATCTTACTTTCTAATCTCAAGTACTAATTCTTATATTTCGAATAAATAATTTTTGATAATCAGTAAAATATTTGCTTTTGAGACACTGGATCTTCTGACTCTATCAAAAGCAGAAGATGAGAGAGAATTCTTTAAGTTATTTATGAATATTATCTCAACTCCAAATAAGCATGAAGATTCACTTCATTTGATTTAAGAAGAAGCCATCAGATAGATGAATATCATAAAGGATGAAATAAAATAAAAACACAAAAGGAGATTTAGTGAACACAGTATACATTTTCAATGTAAATTACATTTCACAATTTTATGGTGATAGGAATTACATATTTGTTTGTAAAGTTAAAAACGCATTTCTGTCATATGGTGTTGTGGTATGTGCTACTTATATTGACATAAGTAGTATATGATGTTAGTCGTGAACAGAAGGTCTGGCAGCAGAGAGACAAGAGGATCGAACAGTAAAGAATGAAAACAGGATGCAATTTGTATGAAAATGCAAGAACAATGAAGTCTGAGTTATTTTGAGACAATTGGTGGACATTTTGCAAATTAAGCATTTACTTTATGATTGTTAGATTTTATTAACAAGTCGTGTAATTTTGTGTTAAATACGTTCGATTGTTCTCCACTGGTGTTCGTGTTCACTACAGTATCAATAGTTTACCTTATGATCGAAATATTATATAAATTTCAATTAGGGTAATGGTCAGTATGTTACTGTTGTTTGAATAATCTTTTAATGAATCCCATTCTAATGATACATCCTTTTAAGATGATCCCTGAAAGTCATAATTTAATGGATTTATTTAAATAATAGTTTGGTACTTCTTCTCATTTAAAGGATAAACAAATCAATAACATTTATATCCGAGTAAAAATGTACAGATATCAACCATTTTGACTTATGAACTAAAGTGAGTGTTTTCTTAATTACTTTGGAATAAGATGACTGATTTACAATACTTTCCTACCTTTAAAATTTATACGGTTTTTTTAAAAATTGAAAATGATACCAATGATAAGAGTCCTTATTAAAAGGATTGTTAAAAATCTATTTTAAAGGCTATCATTTTAAGTAGTTTGCCTGTAGCAAATGACACAGTTTGAAAACCGTTCATTCATATTAAGGATACATTATGTCCTGTGTTCTCATCTATATATGTGATGTATTCTACTGATGTCGACAGATATAAGTAGTATATATAACCAGTCGAAAGTAGAATGCGTGGCAGTAGAAGGTTGAGAAAATTGAAGAGAAGATAATTAGAATAGAGACTGATTAGCATAGAAACGAAGTAACGACAACGTCTGAGACAGTTAATGAATATTTTGCAAACGAAATATCGTTGTATGGTCACAATTGATTGATCACTGGGTGGTGATCAATGTCATGTATGTCAAGTCCTTATTTAGCGCAGATCGAACGCTATCGACCATGTGGCCACCAGTCTAGGTGACTCGACACTACGTGCACTATATATTGAGATTAGATGGTGGTTAGAGGTAGTCGACAGTAAACCCTGAGTAATTTCTCAACCATAAAGTTTAAACGTCACACATGACATTGGTCACTGCCCAATGATCAGTCAATTGTAATTACATCTCAGTCCTACAGAAGGTCGGTCGCGACTCGGATGGCTCAGTGGTAACGTTTCTGATTGTGAAGCTGAGTGACACAGGACCAAACCACCAGGGAGCACCAGTTCCCTCAAGATTACAGGTACACCTTGCTGACGAGTGCCAAGTAGCACGAAACCCGGGTCCAGGGTTTCCTGTCGACTACCTCCAACCACCATCTGATCTCATTACTGTATGGTACCCCCATTTTACCCAGATATTCTGTAATGTTTTGTTAAAATATATTTAGTTGTCTCCGCATGTGTTCTCGTCCACTACAAATCTGTTTGTTAAATATCCTCTTCCTTGCTAAAAATTATTTCTAATGAAATGTCCACCTCACATTTATAGTATCTTGTAATGATTTCAATTAAAATAAGCAAAATATTTACTGCAATACAAAAAATGTTTTCTGTTCAGATATAAAATCTTGTTTGAACTGCAACAAAATAACGAACTGTTCAATTAAGTATTGTTTGCATACAATTCCTTTCCAAGTGCATATGATCAAAACACAGGTATATAACTAAGCGACATTCTTATCAAGAAACTATCGTCAAGTTCTACAGTTGCAAATAATCATAAAATCTGAGGTAAATATATATATTACTAGTAAAATAAGTTTCTCATTTGAAGTTTGTAATCGTCAAAGTGGTCAAAATTTAGTTTATAACTGAATTGGTCCGTAGGTCAACTGAGATTATGAGGATAATAATCGGAATATATATGTTGGTCATGCAAAGTGAATGAAATAACAACGTATATTGGAACAAGGATAACATTGTTTATGTAATGCTAGGAATGATACCGACCTTATTAAAGTACACTGACCTTACGTCTGAGTATTCATTCTGACTATTAATCTGGACATATCACTGTAGAATTTAACAAGAATTCCTTGAAAAATGTATTGTTTGTTCATATGTCCATGTTAAAATTTAATCTCAGTTTTTTAAACAACCGAAAAATGTTACGTGTTGTAGTTTAAAATGTCATCGGTACTGCAGTCTGTCCAATAATTATAGTTTTTTAACTATTTACATTCAACACTATGTGGAAATGGATTGTACGGATCTTTTCGTCTATAATAACATTGTCGAACTGCCTGGACATTGTCATCCAATTGCAAGTTTTCAATAAAATTAGATAGTAACTAACTTCTTGGATTCAGGTGAATCCAGCTGACCAGTCCCAATACGGATGGAATACGTTTTCTGAATTGCAATACGAGCCACTGTTCAACCTTACCAAGACTCTATCTAAACTTGTTAGTTTTCTCACCCTACTATGAGTTTCTTTAGAAAATTATTGTCGTATTTTAATGAACACCATAAATAGCTATCGTATATAGGATTGTCAACTTCCCCTTCCATTTCTATACAATATAACATTTCAGAATGAATATTTCTAAAATAAACTACTCAATCATTTCTATACGTTCGCTTCTAACAAAAATTAAAGCCGATTCATTTTCTTCTTTTTTTTACATCACAAATGGATTCATTTAAGTAGTATTGAATTAATGCTAATTTCTTCTATTGAAACTAAAATAGTAATCATGATAAGGATGTTTAGAGATAAAATTAGACATTTTTATATTCTATAATAAATCATTCACTAATCTTTTCGATTCACTTAATTCTATTCTCATTTCCTATTTCGTTTGGCTTCTTCTTCTTCTTCACCTTCTTCTTACATAACTTGCTGAAATCAGACTAAACATCCCTTTTTATTAAAATACTCTGAATATAATTAATGGGTTTCATTCTTCTTTTTTATAGAATTAAAATGATTGAACTTCATTTATCACACTTTTACATTCATTCTCTATCTCTGATTCACTTCTTCTATTCATTTGATTGAATTTCTTTATTGTCATATATATATACGTGTACTGAGATTCACGCATCATTAGAATAAAGTACCATCATTAGTTAATCTATTTCTCTTTGAAAAGACTAAGAAACTATAGAATTAGTGTTTACATTGTTCTGTGAAACTCATCTATACAAAACAAATACTCCATAAACTGTCGGATATCCGTTTTGCTTTTTAAAACAAAATTGAATAAATAAATAAATGAGAAAAAATAAAGAAAAAATGGTTGTAATGAAAGAAAAACTTGAAAAGTGATGTATAATACTAATGAAGAAAACATTTTAAAATAGGGGAAAATAGTAACCCTTATAATGATTTCAATAGTTGAGATCATGAGTGAATTGAAGCTAGATCATTATAGAAAATCGGGAAGCAGTGGATGGCCATTTCGTCCTATTGTGGGACTCTTTAGCAGTGTCCATCCACGATAATTATGTTGAATTTATTTACAATTAATAGTACGATTTATCTTCTTTTTTTAGAGAAAAAAACGATAAACAAAACTTTGACAGTTTCACTTGAAATAGTCTAAAAAAGAACAGAGTTTTCCAGGGTATATTCTATGCTTAAACGATACTTAGACTAAATTAATCTCTTGTCTGGTATTTCATAAAATATGTAACGGATTCATAATAAATGACTATAGACCATTTGTGTATATAGAAGTGTATATTTTAGATGAAGTTTTGTCCACTGAGCTGGATGATTTGGTCTTGGAGTTTTCATTGTTCATCTGAACAATATTATCAGCACAAACTTCAGGTTTGTGTATATTTACCTGAGCTACAAATTTTCTCTATCATTTTAAGTGTACATTTTGAATGT